TTGAATGTGGTGGATGAATTGTTAGATAAAAATAATATTTTATTAGATATTGTGGGTGAGTTTTAGAAATAAAAATGTGTAAAATTGTACTTTTTAAGATTTATTAGTTTTCATTTCTATTTTTTAGTTTTTTAGGAAATAACCAAACAGGCCCTGAAGGGAAAAAAAAGTTATACCTGCCATCAGTTGACTTGACATATATTGCCAAATTAATTAATTTTTTAAGAAGATAGGATGAGACCTCAAGGTTGTAACTGTCCCGTCATATCCATTACTAAAATGTCTTTGCTAACTCTTAATTAATAATCTAATCATGTTTATAAAATAGAAAGAAATTTCATCCTTGTAATTTTTTGAAAGATTAAATCACATTTGAAATCAAATTGATGCGAGATACTCATAGTGTATTGGAAATTATTATGAATATTATTTGTGCTTAATTATGTCTCCCTACTTATTCTTTGTGTCACGAGATCTGGCTCTACAAATAAAAAATGGTTTACTACACAAAATCCACATGAACTTTTGGAGAGATGTAGTAAATTCTTATCAATTTTTTCTATTGTATAAAACCTCCATGAACTTGAGAAGTTGTCGCACATAAACCCCATGAACTACTTTATTTTATTAAATTTCATATGAAAATTTCTCCTTATATCTCCAAAGTAGTATCTTCCATATATTCTAACATCTAATGTGGTAAGCACATACCAAAAATAAATGAAAACAATTCCTTAAGTCCTAAAAAATACTTATTTTTCCTGTTTAATAAAAGATAATCTTTTTGTTAGAAGAGAGCAAATGGTCGAATAGATCGGATTTCATCATTTTCTCTCAAACCAATCCGAACTATGTATGGAACCGAATTGAACTGAACCAAGTTATTTTGGTTCGGTTTAGTTGGTTAACTCGGTTGTTATAGGACGAAGCAACAAAGAAAAAGATTATTTGATGATGGCTGCAAATGAAAGCAAGGATTTGGCCGTGGCGAAATTCAAAAAGAGAGAGAAGATTGAAGATGAACAATAGTGCCTCGTTATTTGGAAAAGAGTAATGTAGCTTTCCTTTTTAGACTTTTGGATATTTGGAAGAAAATAGAAAGGAAAGAGGCAGCACATTCCCACTTTTTCTAAATATTTATGTTAGTCAACTGGGATTAACTTTGGAATCACACCACTCATGTGAGTGCATTGCGTGGTGTTGGCCTTTTTATTTTGATGATGTTTTAACAAATAATTTACAACAAATATTGCTTGTCTAGTGCTTTTGTTTTCTTATTTATTCTAGGCAAACAATCAGTTGAAGGTTGGATGGAATTGCGCTTCAACGATCATATCCAATAGAGGTTGGCGGAATATCGGAGTGAAGCAATACAATTCAAGTAAAAAGATTCAAGTTCAAGCTTCATCCAAGTTTACCAAGTCGAGTCATATTGAAGATCAAGATAGCTTTTGAGTAATTTAGTTTTAGGTTTATACTTGTGTGTAGATACTTCAAGCTCAAGCACGTACACACATACAAGTTTTGGTTATATATATATATATATATATATATATATATATATATATATATATACACATTTGTTTTATAGTTTTCAAATTTAAATATGAAACAATTGAATAAAATTGGAAAATATATTTTTGTTTCATGTTTATATATACATTTTTATGAAAATAGTCTATTCTTGTTTATAGACTTAACAACAATAGTTTACATCTTTTATTAAGTCTATAAAATCATTTGATAAAGTTTCAAAATATTATTTAAGTCAAAATGATAAAAACAAGTGTAAACGACTAGTTTTTCAGACTCCTTGTTTTTTGGGTTTTTTGGGTTTTTTTGTCGTTTTACTGGGTTTTTGTTGCGTTTTAGGTAGGGGTGAGCACGGTTCGGTTCGGGTCGGTTTTTACCAAAATTTAAACAACCGAACCGAACCACCTACAATTCAAAACCGAACCGAACCATTACAAATCGGTTCGGTGCGGTTCGGTTCGGTTTGTTCGGTTCTAACTTTATCAAGTATAACTTCACTTCAATTTATCTTTTATATATTATTATTACCCTATGTCAGCATGTATTTGTTTTTTAACTTCACTTCAATTTATTATTCTTGCTCATGTATGTATACTGTTTTTAAGTGAAGTAACTTGTCCTTTTGGATTAAATACTAGACTCTGACGTTGTAATTTTTAGTAACGGACTTGCTTTGTCTTTGTGTAGCAAGCTTTGACTTTGGTCTTTGTGGAGACAAAAAAAGGAGCTGACTCATTAGAACATTGGTTATGTATGAATCAATTCCCTGCAACTGCTATTCATGGTGATCGAACACAGCAATAAACCCACAAATCAAAGGCACAAATATATTCGGTTGGTTTGGTTCGGGTCGGTTTGAAAAATTATCAACCCGACCCGAACCGCTTTCATCATAAAACCGTTTTTTTCGGGTCGGTTTGAAAAATTATCAACCCGACCCGAACCGCTTTCATCATAAAACCGTTTTTTTCGGGTCGGTTCGGATCGGTTCGGTCGGTTTTTTCGGTTTGAACCGAACCGTGCTCACCCCTAGTTTTAGGGTCTCCTATATATACCCCCTTATACCCAGCTCTATAACCAACTAAGAGAAAAGTTTTAAAGAGTTTTACAAGTTTGTTTAAGGATTTTACAAGTGTGTTTAAGAGTTTGGTTTGTAAAGAAATTTTCACAAGAGCTTGAGGAGATCATCCTTTGATGTTTGAGCATTCAACTCTTCTCCCTCTCTCTCTCTTGACATCATAGAGAAGTTTTTCTAAACTCATTCTAGCTATTTATTATTTTGATTATAATTCCCATAAGCTAGATTTATATTGAGTTTAGTTTTTTTTATTATACTATTTGTTCACACACAACCTATTGAGCTTATTGTATTTACATACATAGTATAATTTGGGGTTATGGGTTTGTGACTTAGAGAGTGAGCTTTCATTGTGTTCTCATCCATACTAGAGAATAAATTATTGTATTGAGCCTTCGTTGTGTAGATCACTTTGTAATACACTTGTACACCGAGAGGAGTGTGTGGGTAGAGACGGGGTCGTCCCAAGAGGAGTGGCGTCGGTAGTAAAACCTAGGGAGATGTTGTAAATCCGAGCACTTGAGGGAGACACGCGCTAGAGACCAACACTTAGAGGGTGTAGAGTGCGATTGCAAGAGTGTTGATTGTAAAGTTTTCGGTGAGCTAGAAAATCGAGTGTGAGGTGTAAACGTTTTCGGGTGAGCGTCGAAAACCCGGTGTGATAGTGGATTTCTCCTCGGGAGTGAGGAACAATGACGTAGGACAGAAAGTCCGAACTCCGTGATCATATTGCTTGTTTGTGTTTGCTTTGACGCATTCATTTTTGTGTTCCTCTTATATCGCCTATTGCATCTTGTTTATTTCATCCACTATATTGTTTGCCCTTGCTCGGTTTACTTATCATTGCATATATATCTTGTTACATGTCATATTTGATTAGCATAAGACTCTATTCACCCCTCTCTCTCTCTCTCTCTCTAGGGTTCTTTCCTAGTGGCATTAGAGTCTAACACGTGGGTCATCCACAAAATAAGGATAGTAGCTTGCGTGCATTTTAAATAAGCCTTCTCTCTAATATTTAGATAAGTCAACTGGCAATAACTAGCAAATTACAACTTTTACATGGTGCATTTCGTGGGGCCTACTCAAAAAAGGTTATTAACTGGGTGCATATGCTAAATAGCCATTTGGTTGGTTTGATTTATATGGGTTCAAGAAAACTCACACCGACCCGAGCCGAAAGGAATATAAAATCAAAGCAAACTACCACAGTTCGGTTGGCTTGTTCGGTTTAAACCGAAGTTTGCTCAGGCCTGCTATTTGTGACTAAAAATGAATTTTGGTCTTCTGTTTTCATATTGTGCATACCAGTAACATATTTCCTACATCTGCTCCAGCAAAAGATTTGTTAAAAGAACATGACCCGCTAAATTAGATTATCATCCGAAGGATTTGCAAATGACTATCGAAGTCAAATTCAAGCATCACGCATCTCGTTGCAAAAGAGTGAAGAAAAGAATGATGCCAAGTATGCAAAATACATGACTTAAACCTACATAATATACGCAAGTGATACCGCTGAAAGAAAGAGAGAGAAAGTTCTATATTCTCATTGACTATATATGAAGAATAGGATATTAATACCCAATATTTATGCACTTTGCACAATATTAATCCCTACAAAAGTAAAACTCAGATAAAAAATATATATAATAGAGGAAAGTCCTAAACGGACACAAAAAAGATTTTGTGTCTCATTTGGCATCTACCAGTACCCTCTGTATGATTTTATACGGAAGAAGTTCTTTATGATTTTCCAAATAATTTTCCCCAAAATAACAGGGCAATATGTTCTATTTTCCTTTTTAGAAGCCATACTACCAAGTAATAATGCTAGATTGCCAGGCTGCCCAAAGAGAAGCAAACGATCAAGAACTCGAGTGATGACGTGAAGACGCCAATGGCTCATAGCCACACAAAATTATAAATCTCCATAAGCCCACCATATAGCCTGCACACCCTCATCATGGTCCATGCAATTGTCCTTATCAAAACCAAACAAGTTCTTCATTTTCCTATTTTGTTTATGATTAGTCTCAGCACTCAAACATCAGCAATGAGTTGTTTTGTGCAAAAACTATAAAAAAAACCTAAAGATAACGAATAATATATATTAAATTTGATATTTGATGAATGCTCGCTCAAGAACTTCCAACCCTGAAGTTCTGTTGCATCATGTTAATCATCTATGTAAAAATGTTTACATAAACACAATTATGCCGTTGAATTATCTACTAATTGTTCGAAGTGTTTGTATAAAAACTTACGAGTCTGGTTTAACAAAAGAAAAGAGATGAGATGAGATGAGATTCAACTCTGTATCGAAAGACAATTAGATGAGAATTTGGTTAGGTAAAGTATATTAAAACAGAAAAGAAGCATATCCATCTAACTAGAAAGCATCAGCAAGCTTTGAATAATCAAAGTACACATCATGACTCAATTTATTTACACGCAAAAACATTAAAACTTGAAGCACACCATACGGTCCCTCTCGCTTGAAGCATCAGCAAACTTGGGAGTAGGTACATCAATACTTAATTTACACGCTTGATGAATATCAAAGTACTTGATTACACCAGAGGAGCTAGTGGATACAAAAGGATCCAGAATTAACAAAAAGCCACACATTAATAATAAGATTATTGGGTAGGAAATAATCATGGCCTGCTCTTGAATGGGATAGCCCTGATGACTATCACGTGGTACATTGCAGCAAGGGCAGCTCCAATGAACGGCCCCACCCAGAAAATCCACTGCAATATGCGGTAACAAAAAAAATGTATTAATTAGAGCTAACCTTCAGTTAATTAGGATAATTAGTTGATTTAATTGTGAGATAATTAATTACATGGTCATCCCAAGCATGGTCTCTGTTGTAGATGATGGCGGCTCCAAGACTTCTTGCAGGGTTGATGCCGGTGCCAGTGATGGGGATTGTTGCCAAGTGAACGAGGAAGACAGCAAAGCCAATTGGCAAGGGAGCAAGGATCTGCACCAAATTTACACCAATAATAGTTCTTAATTATCTCAACCTCAAAACGAAAGTAGCAATTGAGAAAAAAAAATTATAGTGTCAATTATAACCTATGAGAGCAATTACACATGGACCCAGTTATTTTGTAGGGTTAATTGCGGACAGACCCCCGCAGAATCCTTGTTTCTTGCTAACTCCTTTTTGAGTGATTTTTTGTTTTTATTTTTATTTTTTGGACTCTATTACCTTCAGGAAAAAAAAGAAAGAAAATTGTTTTTTGATGAATAGATCCCCCTGAGGGTAACAGATCAAAAGAAATTCAGTCGCCAGAGCTGCCTGCAAAAATAAAACTAGAGAGAGAGAGAGAGTAATTTGAAAACGCCAATAATACGGAAGGTCTATCCGCCGCAATTAACTTTATTTTGTATCATATCAGAAACAGTCATATTAGATAACTCCTAGTCGGTAGTATTAAAAGTATCTTGTTCTATTAATTCTTTTGTGGAAAATGATAGGGGCACACCCCCAACCACATCGTAAACCAGACCCCCTCTCTCATATGCTACAGTATATCGGGCCTCACATGAGATTTTAAAATTTTAAAATCCCATGTGAGGCCTGATGTACTGTAGCATATGAGAGATGGGGTGTGGTTTAGGATGTGGTTGGGGATGTGCCTCTAATGCTACCTTTCTTTTGTAATATCTAAGTCTAATATCAACCAACATTTGTTTGGAGGTTAGCTCTCAAATAAAAACTAACTGAAGCATAATCTGATGCAAACTAAACATTTCACTTATCATCATGAAACTTGGCATCAGTAGCAGAGAAGACAGTGTAGACAAGGACAAAGGTACCCACAATCTCGGCACCCAATCCATCACCCTTCGTGTAGCCGGGGGCCACAACATTGGCCCCACCACCCTGGGACTCATAGAGACCCTTCTGGAATCCCTTAACCACACCAGCGCCGCAAATTGCACCCAAACACTGCATCACCATGTAGAAGATGGCCCTGGTCAGGGACAGTTTTCTTGCTAAGAAGAGGCCAAAGGTCACTGCTGGGTTTATGTGGCCACCTGCCCACCAAAAAAACATAATAAAAATAATTAATTAGAGAAGTTTGATCATTTCAAACTTTAATCAACATATTTGATGAATGTTTGAATAATAAAGTAAATTAGTATTTTGTACACATAATTCATGATTCTTCAACTTTAAGATGAAGTTGGCAACCCTCGGTTGAAACATTTCTGACCTTTAAGAAAATAAATAAGAAAACCAACAAATTAAGAAACTAACCAGAGATTCCGGCAGTGCAGTAGACAAGAGCAAAGATCATGCCTCCAAAGGCCCAAGCAATCCCTTGAATGCCCACAGTGGAGCACTTTGAAGGGGACTTAACAACCCCCATAACAGTCAATACGGAGATATAAAGAAACAAGAAGGTAGCGATGAACTCAGCGATCCCTGCTCTGTAGAAGGACCATGACTTGAGCTCACCAGGCTCAAACAACGGAGCAGGGGGGGCCTCCTTGTAGTCCTTGTCAGTTTGAGCTGAGGTCCCAATTGGCTGCCTCTCCGAGAACTTGTTTGCTCCTAGCTTAACATCCTCCTCTTTGCCTTCCATTTCTTGTTATTATTATTAGAATTGTAAGCTCTTGAAGGAGATTATAGCAGTATGAAGTGGGGAGAAAGAGAAAGAGGGCGAGGGGCTTTTATAGAGGTGTTGAAGACAAAAGAAATTGTGGGTTTCGTCTGACTTAGCCCTTTGTATAATTGATAATGGCGAAGGGGTAGGATTTAAGAATTTCGATTGGGGTTTTTTTGCAAGTATACCCTGCAGATGTTTCATATATCTGTACTACAATATGAAATAGATGCTAGCATATGAATCTTTTAGCTAGTCTGACTCCAAAAATCTATATCTGTACTACACTAATAAAATAGTTGTCTTTGGCTACAAGTTAATTTGGATACTTGATTAAAAAAACTAGCAATTTGATCCCTCTCCTCTCTCTTCTCCTAGGAATTTATTTTTCTTCTCTATATTTTCTCCATCTAAAATAACTACGAAACTTACAGTTTTACTATCTTTATCATTCACTTAAAATTGCTTTAGGAGTACGACAACATAGTAATACTTTTTGTGCATCGCACCGGTAACTAAAGACTCGTTTCATCATTATACTAAAATCCTCTTCAAATATAAAAACTTTCAAAAATAACTCTATCAGTGTGTTTCCCCATATTTCCCCCATCATTTGAACTATATATACATACTCCATAATAGTACCTTTCCCCCCCTTTAAATGTCAATCGTCGTCTACGTGCATGGTAATATAATATATGGATACAAATTAAATATGTAAAATACACTTTAAGCAGGGCCTGCACCCAAAAACTAAAGTTTCGTATGAGCAGAAATCAAAGAATAAGTAATAAGAGAGGGAGTATGTGGGTCTTTGACAGGTTGTTCGGTCGTTTTTATCCTTTAAAAAAATTCCGACCATATATATGTATTACAATTGCAAACCCTTTCCCTTTCAAGGATTCCTGATGTCACGCAGTTTTAAGCATACTATAAGCCATTTCTTATGCCTAATCCACCTACTCTTTGCATTTATAATTCGACTTTATTAATTAGAGCTCCTCTCTCTCTCTCTCTCTCTCTCTCTCTCTCTCTCTCTCTCCTCTCTCTCCCTCTCTCTCTCTCTCTCTCTCTCTCTCTCTCTCTCGTGTGTGCGTGTGATATCAGCAGGGTATATGTTTGGTTGCTCTGAACGTGCAAGTGGAGCTCAGGCCAGCTTGGTCTATGGACCACTGAGCTGCGCTGGCAATGGGATCTTTACACCAAGTTATCAATGATGAGCCTTGTCTGCAAAAGAATGGAGGTATTCAACATTCCTTATAAAGTGAAGGAGATAAGCATGCACGTTATTTAGTATCTTTATGGTTCTCATGAAAATCATGTAATTTTGCTGAACGATTGCAGATATTGATGCTTTTGAAATATGTAAAATTATTGTAAACATC